TAGCTCTGGCCAAGCTTAAAATAGCTCCCGTAAAGAAAATTACGAGAGCTCTTTTTTTCATACAAAATCAAAAAAGAGCTCTCGTAATAAAAAAAGTATTTTTTAGGCTGGTTACATCGTTACACAAACATGGCGGCGAATTCATAAATTTTGTTGCATTCGTCTCAAAAAGTCGCTGTAACCCCGTAAGTACCCAGCGCATCGTAGCGCACTGATGTTTACAAGAAGGTGGACGTATACCGATTCATTTGGTATATCACATGTGTAGTGTTCTTTGGCGATACTTGGCAAATAAGGCAACTACGTGTTTAGCTGCAGCCAAGGTTTGAAACGGTATTCTAACCCCAGCAATACCGTTTCTTGGAGCTACAGTACAGTGAATCACTCAATCAGTGAAAGTGGCTGACCACACCACGTTTACTTGTTTTAATACTAATTACCTTATTTTCCAGCTCCAACTTTTTTGCACGTGCTTTCTCTAAAAGTTTACTTGCTTTTGATAATTGCGTAATATCTTCACCCAGTTCACCGTTTATGAAGGAAACAACCTTATTTTGAGTACCAGCATACAAGCTGGAACTTTCCTCTGCCATCTTGGCGCTTGTGGCGCTCCCGTTTGGGGATTAATTGAGATAATCAGCCGGCGAACAAGTGAAAAGTTGATTAGTCAAGTGAGTAAGCATATGTATAGATGATAGATATTAACATTACATTAACATTAAATCTTTATGCATGAATTCAGATACAAATACATGTACTGACGACAGTTTTTTTCATGGAGAAAAAATCTGATAAAAGCAATAGTGTTGAGTAGTTAAAATGATAAAATATCTGACGGATACATCATACAGTACATTGAATCGATTGAGTCAATCACTGACACGGATACACTGACTAGGGTCCTACGCAGGGGCGTAGCTACGGGGGGGCCTGGGGGGGCACGTGCCCTCCACAAATTTGCTGTGCCCCCCCAGGTGCCCCCCACTGAAAATTGATGTTTCATAAAAAAAAAATTGAATTAAAAACAATGCCGTTAGAACAGTATAATACAAAGAAAAGTTGTATATTGTGCCCCCCCCACGAAAATGTAAGGCCCCCCCAGTGCCCCCCCACTGAAAAAATCCTAGCTACGCCACTGGTCCTACGCAGTGAATTACAATGTAGTAGGTCTCAGGGTAGCTCTAGTACTATAGCCGCTTACATTAACTGCCGCTGGCAGTTAATGTAAGCGGGCTATAGTACTAGAGCTAGTCTCAGGGGAGAGATAGTTAATACTAATAGAAATAAGTTGTGGATATAGAAATCAGTTAACCCTAACCCTAACCCTAACCCTAATCCTAATCCTAACCCTAACTATGGAAAGCCTAGCTCCAAGAAACGGTATTGCTAGGGTTAGAATATGAGCTTGTTTCGTCGCTCAATGACGTCACAGTGTGGTACGTAATATTCATGGCACATCCATAATTAATAATCTATTAATCCTGAATAGCCGACCGCGTAGAGCACGACGTCAGGACTGAAAGGTCGTTGGATCGCGAATCCCTTTTTCTTTTCTTTTTTTTCCTGTTTGCTGTATTTTTCTATCTTTATTTCATTTAACTATTTTTTCCAATTAACGCAAATATTTACATGATTTATTTACAACAATTAATTTTTACAACATTTACAATTTTTTTAGCTCATCTGACATGGTCAGATGCAGCTTGGAGAATCGCATGAGCGTGCGTGCGTGCGTGCGTGCGTCCGTCAACAGTTGGGCACAAATCTAATTATAAAATTGTTATCTAGATCACGCTACGTGACGGGCAGGAATAGTTACGTATCGTACAGTCCTGCATGTTATCGTTTGTGTCGTTATAAGTTATAATTCACGCGCGTCGTGTGCATTTATACGCAAAACACTGAAACAGTTAGATTGAAAACTGCAAAGATATATAACCATGCACCAAGCACCATGCTCGCACGTAGGATAGATATAGATCTCAACGTAAAAGCGGACACGAAACATCACTATGGACGTTGTTCACTCTCGCTATTCTCCGTGGACAGACTTTGTTCGTGTGTCGGGCAGGATCCTGTCTCTTCAGATCATAGTTCGTAGAGGGAGACTCCCTCTACTAACTATGTTCAGATTAACCTCAATTTTGCGAAAGTACATTAGTTCTGTAACTCACTGCACTTTCGCTAAAATCTTTTATAGCTGATTGCATCGAAAAGTATTTTTACCAGCCAATCGGATTTCCAGAACGCAACGGCAAACAAGACAAATACCTTGTGTTCAATCTTCAATGCAGTTTCTGTGGTCAAAATATAAAAACCGACTGCGTTCCTTCAATATTCAACTTCGCTGACGGACACCGACCAAGTCTCGAACCTCTACAGGGCACATAGTAGGCGTACCCGTGGAGATAAATTGGTAAGTTTGACCAAGAACAAATTGAATACGCATTTGGTTTATAAGGTGGTCGTCATTGATGCTGTTAAGAAGTCCACTTTAGCTGTTTAGGGACTTTTTTGACGAGGTAGGAGCTTACCATACTTAAAAGTTCCAAAGCCCTGTAATGATCGATCATGATCTGAATGATCTGATCATGCGATTCTACAAGCTGCATCTGACCAGACTATGTCAGATGAGCTAAAAATACAGAAAACAATTTGATGGAATTTGGCTATATATTCTTTATTTGTTTTCTTTTTCTTCTGATTCATTGACAGGACTTGAAGGAAATCAAAATTTTACATGGTAACAAAACTAGCTTTGATATCTGAAAAAGAAGGGAAGTGCTTGAATCATTCTGCATTAATTGCTGGTATGCAAAGCGCAGGCAAAATGAAGCAGAAATAAATTTCCATATGGTTTTTAGCTGCTTGACTAAATGTGTGCTCAAATGGTGCTCATTTTTGTGCCCATGCAGGGACCCTTGAGATTTTGAAATTTCCTGGGGGAGGCCCCCCAGAACCCCCGCCATGTGCTTCCGCGCGTAATGGCGCCCACTGTGGGGTGGTGTGCTCTTTTTGGAGGATGTGCCCTTAAAATCTGGAAAAATACTGTCTAGCTTCAGCCCTGGATCCGCCCCTGTAGGGAGTCGCCTACGCCTAAGTACTCCCTAACCCTAACCCTAACCCTAACCATATCAGATAGTTACCAGGGTACGTTCCGGTATACCGGACCGTACCCAGGGTACGTTCCGGCAGTACCCTGGGGGACATAGACCCTATGAGCAGGGCCATAGCCAGAGGTAAATTTTGTTGGAGGCAAATGTTGTGAGTTAAAGAACAAGGAGCGAAGCGAGCCAATAGGGCGTGGGGTATGGGGCCCACTTAAGGGCCCCAGAAGAAATTTTGTAGGAGGCATTTGCCTCCTATTGCCTATTAGTGCATCACGTGATAAATCGTTGAAATTATATTGGATAATGTCGCAGGTACTATGAAACAGTAGTGCTCGGCTGAGCGGGCACTATTGCTTGCGCGACGCATTGTTATTCTTGTTATTGCATTTATGCATTGTTATTTGCATTGTTCGAATTAAATTTCAAAATTCGAATTAAATTTTCCCTACCTGTAGCAGTTTTCCTGAGTCATCGACAGGTGGCGAGACCAGCGTTGTTATCAGTCAGACGACAACAACATGCATGAAGCGCTCCAGATTTTTTTATTCACTTTATATTTGCCGAGTAGATTGCAAAGTCATGTGATGCACTAAAAACATTAATGCCTGTTGTTGGGGGCACTATGCTGTCATAGTGTTGCTTTGGGAAGGAATAGTGCCCTCGCTGCTGCTCGGGCACTATACCTTCCCTCAGCAACACTATGAGAGCATAGTGCCCCAACAACAGGCATTAATATATAAATGGTAGCTACGGCCCTGCCTATGAGCATCACTATCTCTCCCCTGTGCAAAATTTATTACAATGCTATACAACATGAAGAAAAGAATATATACAAAAAAACAAAAACAAAACTTCAGCATATTCTGTACTAGTAAATTGATTAAGACAACATGAAGAAAAAATAGATACCAGAAAAAAAAACTTCAGCAGAGTCTATACAAGTATAGTGATTAAGGTACACTTTAACATCATTTTGGCACTCATACGTACGCCATTATATACATATTACACAAACACACGCACACATACGCACACTTATATTTATATAAATATGGACAGTCACATACTGATAAATGCAATGGTGTTGAGCAGTTAAAGTGATAGATTGTCTGAGTAATACAGTACAAAACAGTGCATACAACATGAAGAAAAATAGAAACCAGAAAAAACTTCAGCAATGTCTGTACAAGTAAAGTAATTAAGATACACTTTAACATCTTTTGACACTCATACGTTCACCATTATATACATATGACATACATTACATATTCCATACATATACGCGCACACACACACACACACACACACACACTTACATTTAAATAAATATTTAAACACACTGATAAATGCAAGTGTTGAGTAGTTAAAATGATAAATTTTCTGAGTCATACAGTACAAAGCAGTGCATACAACATAAAGAAAAAAATAGATACCAGAAAAAACAACTTCAGTAAGAGAGATATACACCAAGAGAGCTCATAATAGAGATAATATGATATCTCTATTATGAGCTCTTGATATACACAACACACTGTGTTGTGACAGTGTATATCTATGGAGTAATTAAGTAATATCAGGAGTCACTGTATATAATAATTATAATAGTATGTTATATTATTATATAGTTATAATAATAATATGATAATAAAGTAAGAGGCCCTATATAATATAGGCTTAATCATAGTCATAGATATATACAACACAATATGTGTTGTATATATCTATGGCCTACCCTATATGCTCAGCTCGCATATTGATTGCATAGCTGTGTAAATAGTAATACTAGTAACTATCACAAAAGAAGGCCCAGATTTCTGAGAGACGGTCAACTTCTAGTGCCAAAGTCTACACATGTGCACTTGCATTGGTTTGTAAATATTAGGAATTGTGAATGTGTACGTATATCACATAAATGATCACGGCAGGTGTATATATTTTAGAGTAGGTATATGCCTACACTGTTGTGTTACATTATTGTATCGAATGTTTACTTATGTGGTCCAACATAGTTTACTCTGAAATTTCTAGTTTATCTAAAGAACAACCATGGAAGGTGACATACTCTACAAAAGCCAGTTGGATGAGAATGGCTGCAATAAAGCAGACGAAATGTATTTAAATGTTGGTACACCGGATAATGATGCCCTACGTAGGAGTGTAAAGATGATGGCAACAGCAACAAAGCATAGAATGGTAACTATAATATTTTAGTACTTGTAAGTAATCCCATTACCTAGTATCTTCTTCTTATCCTCTTAAGGCTCTTGGTCCCCCGATGGGACATAAGGTCGTGGCTAGTATGTGCATGTATAATTATATATCGTATTTTTAGCTCATCTGACGTAGTCAGATGCAGCTTGTAGAATCGCATGATTGTCCGTCCGTTCGTCCGTCCGTCCGGCCGTGCGTGCGTGCGTGCGTGCGTGCGTGCGTGCGTGCGTCAACAGTTGGGCACAAATCTTAACCGCTCGACGTACGGTCACAATATTCGGGACGTGGGGGGGTAATCCGAAAACGAGTTAAGATGTCGAAGCTGGGGGTCAAAGGTCAAAGGTCAAGAGGTGTAAAAGAAGGGGGAACATTCCCTCCTTAACTTAAGGTATAGAGAGGAAATGCAGAATT